TGTGTGTGTGTGTGTGTGTGTGTGTGTGTGTGTGTGTGTGTGTGTGTGTGTGTGTAAATAACCTGTTTCTAAAATAGAGGAGGTTCTGCGACTTCAAAGTAGAGCTGCAAAATGAGCTGCAGCAATGAAAATGAGGCGGAGGTGCTTTCACACCCACTTCCATTCAAATGTCCAAAAAATGACAAAGAGCTGTTCTCACCAAAGCAAGGGAAGCCTCATTCAATGACAACGGCCTCTGTTTAGACTTTTTATTATGGTTCTCAAAAACCAGCCACAAGTATGATTTTGGGGGGAGGAGATAAAGAAGAGCAGGAAGTGTAAGACAGAAACCATGCAATAAAGTGTATTTGGAATCTCTAGGAATTTAAAAGAAACTAAATGTTTGCCAAACTCTTGTACTCTCTAGACTCTGATATCAGAAATTAATCCCAAAATAAGTACTCATAAGAGTCCTCTCAGAAGTAAGAATGCTACCATTTTAACCTTCTGTATAAATTCAAATTCTTGATATATTTCATTAGCAGAAGTAGTTGGATTCACATAACTTATTATCAAGAAAGATTTTCACTCATTTGTTAAAGAAACAGGTAAAGGAGAACAAAGATGAATAGAGAAGTTGGTATGTCGTCACTCTAGCCTTTTCTTCTCCACCCTCACCCCAGAGCAATCTTTTGGAATGCATTGTATATGACTGTCTCAACTTGTACAAATCTCTCTGCTTCCAGGTGGATATAATCTGTTGGTCAAAGTAATGAACCAAGTCCTCTAGTCACCAGACAACTGTCTGCACAAAAGTCTGTGTCAGCTGTGAGGAACGGAATCCAAAGCCTAAAGACACTAAATTGCTATCTGTAAGAACTTTAGCGTCTGTGCCCTTCAGACATGAAAGCTCAAGAATACATTGCACCATTTGTTAGAGAGACTTGAAACAAGGTTGTCAGGCTGCAAAAGGAAAGAAACCTTGCAGAATGTTTGGGAAAAAAAAAAAGAGGGCATGTTTTATTGTTGTTCTTTGTCTTCACATCAGTCATTTCTTCCCTGCCTCACTCAAGGCTGAACTCTCCCCTGTGACAAAGAAAAATAAGCATATATGTTGAATACAGCAACCCCGACGATGTATGAAATATTCTGACCCAGTGGCCCCCCACCTCCCTGCCTTGAGGGAAAAGGTGTGCATCACCCTGTTCCCCAGGTCCTTCCTTGGTTTCTCAGTCAATCAGCATCAACTTTCCATTCGTGCTGTTGTCGTCCTTGTGGGCTCCACTCTTCTCTTGGTTCTGCTTATTTCACTTTCCACCAGGTCATACAAATCTTCCCAAGTCAGGATCTCTTATATCTGTCATTTCTTGTGGCAGAATATTCCAATATGTTGAGTTTCTTCAGTCTTTCCTCAATTAACAGGCAGCCATTTTGTTTCCATTCTTTAAGCGCTGTCATGAGAATTCTGGAGTACACTGGATCTTTGTTTCTAGTGTGTCCTTGGCCCAGGAGTAGGTGCTAAGGTCAAAGGGCCTTGGCATGAGTCCTTCTCTCTGAGTTCTACACTGACAGCCTCAAATGGTCAGACTACTTTATGGCTCCTCTGGGAGTCAGTGGATCATGGCCTTCTTCCCATAAGCCACCCAAAACTCATCTTTGTTGGTCTACATGGTGTGAGGGGAACTTTCAAATAATCTTATTTGCATTTCAAATCACTATGAAATGAGCTGATTGTGTTGTAAGGCAGCTGGGTGGCACAGTGGATAAAGCAATGGGCCAAGAGTCAGGTAAACCTGAGTTCAAATTCAGCCTTAGTCACTTACTAGCTCTGTGACCCTGGGCAAGTCATTTAACCTTTGTCTGCCTCAGTTGCCTCATCTGTAAAATTGGGATAATAATAGACACCTATATCCCAAGGCTGTTGTGAGAATCAAATGAGATCATATATATATGGTGTTTTACAAACAAGTATTATGTAAATGTAAATGCTAATTATTATAACTCCTAGATGTGGAAACTTTTTTTACCAATGCAAATCAGAACCTTCTCAGCAACATAATTAATAGTCTTAAAAAGAGGTTAAATGACTTTTCCAGGGACATACAGTCAATATGTGTCATAAGTAATTTGATTAGTACAGAACTAAATCTATTTATACATTTGGGTTATATTGTGTGATTTTTGTTATGTTGGCTTGTCCCAACCAAGAACAGTGATTATCTTTCCAATTCCTTAAGTCTCCTAT